GCCGCTCTCCACAGTTCCAACGACCATCCCGGACGGTAAGAAGGAACTGGGGGGGGCGCTGGGTCGGCAGGGGCATATATCCGGCGCCATGAGGGCGCCATTCCAGGGGGCGCCTCAGCCGACCCACCGAGAGTTGCTAGGGTAAAAAACTTCTGACGATCGTGCACGCGGTGCGCGCACCTAATTGGAATCGATATGAGCAAGCACTCGAAGAAGAACTACAGAACCCGAACCACCAAAAAAGAAAATCAACCTTCTGCTGGTGGCATCTGACTGAGATGACTAAAATGAACATGCGTCAGTCCCCCGCTTTGGATCGTTATCGAGCAGAACCCGTCACCAGCATGGACATATGTCGTCTGGAACAGTGGTCAAAGCATGAAGGGGCATATGAATCTTTAGCACATCTGGCACATAAATAGCTTGTTACTCCACACCTGTTCTCACTTTCATGGGACATTGTAAACAAGAAACAGGCAGCATTATCTCCTGTAAATGTAAACAAACTTGTTTGCATGAGTGATTGGCTGAACAAGAAGTAGGACTGAGAGAACTTGTAGATTCTAAAGTTTTACATTTTTTGTTTTTGACAGTTTTTTTTGTACATAATTCTACATTTGTAAGTTGCACTTTCATGATAAAGAGATTGCACTTGTATTAGGTGAATTGAAAAATACTATTTATTTTGTTTTTTACAGTGCAAATATTTGAAATCAATATATTTGAAAACGTAAAAAACATCCAAAAATATTTAAATAAATGGTATTCTATTATTGTTTAACAGCACGATTAATCGCACAGCCCTATTTATTACCTACGCCCAGGAAATAGTTAAAATATTGGCACCACTTCTCTGCACTGCAGACACTTGATAAAGACCACCAGAACAAAAGATTGAAACAAGGGTTCCTAGACAACTTCTTAATGCATTCTAAGCCACAGAGCACTATACTCACGTTAGACTTTAACTATCCAGATATTTGTTGAGCAACAAATACAGCCAAAGATGCAGTATCAAAAAGAGGTCTTTTAATTATGCAGAAGACTACTTTATGTAAAAGAAAATGGAGACTTCTATTCTACAACCAAACGATAAGCCATTTTGGATATACATCTTGCTTGATGGGGGGGAACTGACAGACTACCAGGAAGCTTGGAATGTATGACCATGGGTTGCTTGATTTCAAGTCAACATAGTAGGAATGAGGATTTAGAGATGCTGTTCACTGAATGCAGCTCTACAGAGGTGTTAGATTTCAGGAAAGCACATCTGGCGAAATTAAGGAATCTAGAGAGGAACGTTTGAGTGGAGGCCTCATCTAGCAGCATAGAAGGTGGCTGACTACAAGCTACCTGAAAAAGAAGACACCAAGAAATAAGAATCAGCTAACTTGGTTGCGTAAAGGAATGCTAAAAAAAAAAAAATCAGTTTAAAAAAAAGGAGTGGGGGGCAATCAAACAAAAAACATCAGAAGCAGTTAATACTAGGAAGAAATTTGGTCCATTAATAAATGAGAATGCTGAAATTAAATGACTCCTTTTTAAGCATGTATTCAACAAGATAGATACTGAACAAAATAAGGAAGACCGACCTTGTGAAATGACTCTTGAGAACAAGCAGGAAAGAGAATGCTGGGAAATACGAATATGTATATATAAGCCAGTCCAGATAACAGCCTGATCCACTGACATTTTTGAAAAATCATGGGCAACAGGGGAAGCACCAAAAGATGGGAGAAAAGCAAGTGTAATAACAATCTTGCAAAAAGGAAAAAAGTATAATCATATCAATAATTGTGCCATAAATCTAATATAATGAAACGTGCTAGCAGAACAAACATCACTAAAGAAGACCCACAAGCAATAAACAACACTAAGGATTTATCAGGGGCCTTCTGAAATTATCGATTTAACCTAATCAATCATCTGCTACCTACAGCAAACATGATATGATTACGAAGAATAAATTTCTGAGCTTCCTTCTCCCGACTCCCTGAATACTGAGGTAAAGAAGATTACACTGCAGTTCAACCTGTTTACTAGGGAAATGGATTTCCCTGAGAAACAGGCAATTTCAGAGCAAAACAGCACCCTGCTTGTCAAACTAGTCCACCAGTGCTGACCTGCCTTAGTCTGACTAACACAGCCCTGAGTTTTTACACATTAATGTACACTGTTTTCTCAGAAAAGAAACCTTTCGCCCTTGAAGCATTCAATATCCATAAAGACCCCAGTCTAGCAGATTGGTATCTGATCACCATAAATCCCAAATGGGTTTTTAAACAGATTATATAATGAATGTAAGAAACAGGGAAGATAAACAGGTGCCCCTGCAAGAAAATGCTATCAACTCAATATCACTTTCCTTTCTTATTGAATTGTGGACATCAGTTTAGCATAACATTCCTGACTCCATTCCCCAGTGAAGAGGAAATGAAATATTGACTCAGATTGAACAGAGATATAGATAATCCCAACAAGAGATATATGCTTCTACTGCAGTGTTCTCAACCACTATTTGTAGCTCTTCAATAAAACACACTTAATATTTTATAAATTCTACATTATATAATCCAAAATCCCAGGTTTCCATCTACAGTAAAAGCTTTTTTATCTGGTATGTTGGGGGAATAGTGGGTGCCAGTAAGTGAAAAAGTCCAGTTAACTAAGAGGGAAGGAGTTTGGGTGCGGGAGGGGGTATGGGGCTGGGGGTTGGGGCACGGGGCGCAGGTTCTAGGAGGGAGTTTGGGAGCTGCGGGGGCAGCGCCTGTGGGCGGAGGCAGTGAACAGAGCCACCTAGCCACGCTTCCACCTAAGAACAGCAGGGACAGATCGCCGCTTACAGGGAGCAGCCCGAGGTGAGCGCCCCCTGGATCTAGCACCCAAAAGCCCCTCCCCTGCCTCAACCCACAGCCCCACGCCGCCTCCCGCACTCCGAACCCCTCGTGGCCCTTCGCCTAGGAGCAGCAGGGACATGCTGCCACTTCCCGGGAGCCACATGGAGCCAGATAGGGAACCTGACGGCCCTGTGCCAACTGGACAATAAACTGGACTTTCTATGAAGATTAGAAATGCCAATTTTTAGAGCTTTCCGGTTGGTACAGGGCCAGATAACACAGCTTTTACTGTAATTGGGAGGTAGTAACTTGCACCCTGGTAAGCATTTTCACTTAGTCCTAGGTATATGAAGTTAGGTATATGTCTGTTTCTAAGTCTAGCTACTGAAGGAGAAAAAGTATGATACTTGGGAATTATATAGAATTCCTTGTAAATTTTTAGAATATTTGATACTTGCCCAAGTATCCAGCACTTAAGACAAACCTATAATTGGCCAAATGATTGAACCTTCTCTTTTTGGATCAATTGTCAAAGAAAGTTAGAATGACATAGCTCTGATTTTCCATGGAATCCTCTGAACCTCCTTGACTCCTTTCAATCATAGTCCTCAGTGATCAATGAATTCTTCTTGTACAAACATAGGAATTCTCCTACCAAATCAGACCAGTGGTTGGTCCCCCACATCTTGTATTGTTTCCCAGTGGACAGTAACAAGCTTCAGAGGAAAATGTAAAACTTCTAGAATGAATAATCCTGGGCTAACCTGCTCATAGATCATGTTTCATCCTATTCTGAGAGAGTTAGGGGTTGACTTTTGCTGTGAAGCATGATGGTTTATACTATCTACACAATCTGAAGCATGATGATTTATACTAGTTATACAATTTTAATCTTATGAACTGCAAATGTGGATGTTGTCATGATCCATATAAATATCTAGGGAACATTTTTCAAAAGAATAAGTCACTTAAAAATACAGATCCCATTATAAATCAGCTTTTGAAAATTGAAGCCCTGGTCTTTATAATCTTACTAAGCTGTTAGCCTCAATAAGATCTCATGACAGCAAGTTCCATCAGTTAACCGTGTGTTTTGTAGAAAAGCACTCCCTTTGTCTCCATTAAGTTTGCTGCTTTTCTATTTTACTGAAAGTCACCTTGTTCTTGCACTACAAGAAAAGAAACAGTACACATACATTTTAAATTTCATTCTACAGCATTAATTATTCTATATACTTATATCAAGGCCCTTCTTATTCACCTCCTCTCTAAGTTAAAAAATTCTAATCTTTGTAGTCTCTCTTTATGCAAAAGCCTTCCCAGGCTTCCGATCATGTTGTCTGCTCTTCTCTGGACTTTTCCATTTCTATTATATCCTTTTTGATGGGAGATTACTGGAATTGAACACAGAATGGAATAAAATACTCAATATTAGTATCTCTGTTAATACACCATGACATCTTGATTGGTTTTTGTACCACCACTGCACAGATATTTTCATTATGCAGTCCACAGTGACATATAGTTCCGGTCCACACTGCAGAAAAATCGACACCCCTGAGCACCATAGTTATACAGTTATACTGGTGTAGACAGTGCTATGTCAGCAGGAGAGCTACTGCTGCCTCTCAGGGAGGCATATCAACCACGCCAACAGGAGAGCTCTCTCCCATCAGCATAGAGAGTCTTCATTAAAGTGCTAGAGCGGTGCAGCTGTGCCGATGCAGTGTTTTAAGAGTAGACATGCCCTGAGTCTTTGCATCTTTTAAAACTGTAAATGCAACTAAAGAAGAACCAGGCATGTTTTAAAACTTAAAAAATAATGCTTAGCACAGATAGTACACTTAGCATCTTCTAAGCATGGTACAGACATGTATCATGTGACCTATTTGAGATCACACTTCGTTGCCTATCCCCTTTTTACAGCCCAAGACCAGAGAGAGTCAGTGACAGGGCCAAAACTAGAACTAGAGAATGCTAATATTCTTGCTTTTAATCCCACATTCAGTTGATCAGGGCATGCTAACCTCTTCTCTTTAAAGAAATTAACAAAATAATAGCCTTTAACAGGGCTTCTCTATGAGGCAACCGGTCACTGGAATTAGAGAGTTGAGCAAGACAATGAAACAAAAATGAGAAGACAAGAATGGAGAGGATGCTTACTTTGCCGGAAGAGACTGCCTAGGCCATGTACCATCTTCATTCTTCATTTCTATTAACAGCACCTGAAGAGGGAATGCAGACAGTAGGGCAAGGTAAAAACAAACTTATTTTACATGTACTATAAAATGACTTAGACATCTCTTAATTAATGTTCTCTGAATATTGTTTAACATCTTTTGTTTTCTATTAAATGTATATAATGCTTCCGTTGCAGGGTCTCTTTACTGATAGATTCTCTTCTTGTGCATAATACAGCAAAACATTTTCATAGACAAGCTACTTGCCCAAGGAAAACCACGTGTTAGCCTACCAGGCATTTCAATACCATGATTACACTGCTCTACAGCCAAAATGCTTCTGAACTAAATGTAGTCAAACTTTACTAATTCTGGGTCACTGAGAACGAAAATGATGCTTAAAATTGTTGATTGGCTCTAGTTTTCAAGATATGCTATTGGGTCAGTATATACGACCCTTGACTTGGGAATGGCGGAGGATAAGTGAGTTATAAAGGGAAGGGATCTCAATTTAAACCAGAAATGACTAAAATACATCTTTGACTGGATCTATGAATAAATCTATGACTGGGTTTGGACAGTACTTGCTTTTTAGGCAAAACAATGAATGATGCAATCTGAAGCTGGTATTGCGTCATACGTTATATGAATTGCATCATGTTATTCCTAGAAGTCATGGATGATGCAATCATAACGAAGCTTACATCACTCTGCTGAACAAATTGCCCTATATCAGCTCTAGAAATCATACAGTGTCGTGCTCTCTTATTTGTCAGTGTTTGATTTTGCAAAGGAACACATTTCTGTTTAGCCAAAGTGAGCAGAGATGCCTCGTACTTGTGTGAACAGTGCAGATAACTTCTGCTATGTTTGTGGTGAAGTGACTTTTGCATCACAAAAGTGCAGTATAACCACTATGGCTAAGAAAGCCTATTACCTTTATTTTGGCTGCAAAATTGGAGATCAGGACAAGAGGTGGGCCCCACACATATGCTGCAACACTTGTGCAACAAATCTTCGCCAGTGGTTGAACAGGAAAAGGAAATCTATGCCTTTTGCAGTGCCAACAATTTGGAGAGAGCCAACAGATCATACCAGCAATTGTTACTTCTGCATGGTGCCTCCAGTTGGGAAAGGTGTGTCAAAGAAGAAAAAGTGGACTGTGCATTATCCAAACATTCCATCAGCTATACGCCCAGTACCCCATGGAGAAGGACTGCCGGTTCCTGATGCACCAGAATCATTCTCACTTGAGTCAGACGAGGAAGAGGAAGAGGATGAAACTTCTGGTCCTGAACCATCAATGTCACAGGACCCACATTTTCTCCCATCCTCCTCCTCTGAACCACACCTCATAACACAAGGTGAACTGAATGACCTTGTCAGGGATTTGGAACTACCCAAGAGTAAGGCAGAGCTGTTGGGTTCCAGACTACAGCAGTGGAATCTCCTGGCAGGTGATGTTAGGGTTTCCATGTTCCGTGACCGTCAAAAGGATCTTGTCCCATTCTTCTTCATGGAAGGTGATCTTGTAGCCTGCAACAACATCGATGGTGTGATGGCAGCCCTCAACATCGTTCATGATCCAGATGAGCGGAAACTGTTCATTGATTCATCAAAGACGAGTCTTAAAGCTGTTTTACTGCATAATGGCAGTGTTTTGCCATCAATTCCAGTTGGTCATGCAGTCCATATGAAGGAAACCTATGACAACATGAAACAACTTTTGAGGTGCATAAACTATGACCAACATCAGTGGCAGCTTTGTGGCGATTTGAAGGTTGCTGCTCTCTAGCTTGGTCTGCAGACTGGATACACAAAGTACTGCTGTTTTCTCTGCGAATGGGATAGTCGTGCAAGAGATTCCCACTACATCAAGAAAGATTGGCCACTCCGACAGTCATTGGAGCCTGGGAGGAAAAGTGTTCAGCATCCACCACTTGTTGAATCAAGGAAGATTTTGTTACCACCCTTACACATCAAGCTGGGTCTGATGAAGAACTTTGTCAAGGCCATTGACAAAACACAAGCAGCTTTCAAGTACCTCTGTGGAAAATTTCCAAGGTTAAGTGAAGCTAAGATAAAGGAAGGTGTCTTTGTTGGTCCTCAGATTCGTGAACTTCTTCGAGATGATGCATTTGACCATGCACTGCGTGGCAAGGAAAAGATGGCATGGAAAGCCTTCCAGTTAGTGGCAATAAATTTTCTTGGAAACAACAAGGCAGACAACTACAGGTTGTTGGTGGAAAACCTCCTCAAGGCATACAAAAGCCTTGGTTGCTACATGTCACTAAAGATACATTTTTTGCACTCTCATCTAGATTTTTTTCCACCGAACTGCGGAGCAGTGAGCGACGAGCACAGCGAGCAATTTCACCAGGACATTGCAACAATGGAGAAACGCTATCAGGGCAAATGGAGCCCATCAATGCTTGCAGACTATTGCTGGACAGTGACAAGAGATGCTCCATTTAATGAATACAAGAGACAAGCCAAGAAGCGGCGAGTAGACACTGAATAGGACTAAACTATGTACAGAATAGTTTTTTGCCTTTTGTTTCATAATAAATTTTATTTATATAACCCTTTTGCTGATTTTTAAAGTGTTACATAAACAGGACAGGTGAAATATTATCATGTAAAGCAACCATAAACACATGAAAAGACCTAGGTTTACAATTTATGATTAAAACTCTACTATCTACACAATATACATAGACATAAAATGTAAAAACTTAAATATCTTAGAAACAGTAGCCAGTTGTTTTAATTGTCATATTTGAATTCAGCACATCAAAATACATAATAAATAGCACATTTTATCTCTGAAGCAGACGACTTCTCAAAAATTGTAGACCAGTGTTATTAGAGAATTCTGAGCAACTTACCTGACCGTGATAGAGCCCTGCATCTTGTACAGTGCTGTCCAGATTGCTGACCTGCTCATAGGCATTACTCATATACCTACTCCATAACCTAGTTTCCTTCTCACTGGGGATATTAAACAACTGTCGCATTTGCTTCTCAATGGTGGCTGTTTAGAGGAGAAAATATAATAATAAACTTCTGAAATGCTTAAATATTTCTAGAAAGAACTGACCAACCAGAGATACATTAAAGGCATATGTCCCCACTTTATCAATGCCCAAGCAGTAAAAGATATGTCTCATAATCCAGTAGTGTGACCATCATTAGAGCTGAAAATGTCTACTTATTAAAACCCTTTATTTTCATACGCAGTCATCTGTCAGAAATGTTCCTTTTGGCTGGGCTGCAAGCAAGCTTGAGAAATTTGTTCTTTTCTGAAATGCTATAAGCACCTGAAAATTGGAGTTTAAAAAGGAAGCGTGCTCAGATAATGTTTTCACCCCGCAGCACAAGGTCACACTACTGGCAACTATCAGCCAAGCACATCTATGGATCACATTATAGTCTACATGCAACATCTTAAAATGGGAGGGGAGGGGGCATACGATGATGCAGTGATGTAGGGTATAGGGCCAATTTTCAAGTAAAATGAATGAGCAGGGGAAACTGGAGGAAGTATCTGCTGAAATATTTTAGTCATAAAGCCCAAGGAGCCACATCAGTGACAGAATGTACAAGAGAAGTACTGGAAACATTTAGACACAGAACTGTTTCAAACAATGGCATGTCCATTTGCTATGGAGAAGACAATGATAAGCTCTGATTACCCTTTAACCTCACCCCTACCCCCTCATTTACAGGTCCTAACTTTTAAGCCACCTGGCCTCAAAGGGTCAAGCAGTTTTCCAACCAAACCTAACCCTTCCCCCTAGACCTGAGTCAGTGCCATCGCTGCCTCCAGCCCATGGAGTTGGTACGTGGTGGTGGATGCATACCCCGTTCCTGATGCCCCTTCTGCACTGTGTGTGTGCGCGGAGCAAGAGGTGCTGAGGATCTGCAGCACACTCTGTAGGACTTACAAAGCAAAGCGAGGAGTAGGGCACGCAGCCACCACTGTGCTGACCCTAGAGACAGGAGAAGGTCATCAGAGGCAACCCAACCCAAATCTTGTAGTCACGTACCAACAGGCTAGAGCGCTCTACCCCCATTTACTGCTATTAAATGAGGTGTTTTTAAACATTCCTTATGAGAGTCAGTCAGTTCAAAGCTGCAAATATCACATAGCTACTTACCAATGGTGTCTGCTTTGCTGAAATGGCAGGTCAACACATTGGTAGGATCACTATTTTCACACAGCTTCAGTTCGAGGAGGTAAACTTCTACTTTACAGTGCTTCACAAACAGACCGTACTCCACCACCTATAAACAAAAGGCTGCCCCTGAAGCAGGCATGATACTGACCACCCCACATAGGTGAGATGACAATCATTTTTAAAGGGCCCTCCACAACCTGGACTGGCTGCCTAAACAGTGATTTACAGTTTTAAACTGAGTGGGGGAAGGGGTGATCTGACTCCAAAACTGGGAGCTGGGAATTCATGAATTTAATCCCAGCTCTGCCCCGACTTCTTGTGTGACCTAGATCAAGACATTCAACTTCTCAATCACCATCTTCCCATCTGTAACACACAGACTAATCCTTTTTTCCCCATGGGAAAGTTCTGAAACTTAATTATAACAGCTGAGTAGTAGCATCAACTAGTTAAGGTTGCAAAAAACAATTTCTATTGCAACTCCTATGTTTCATGCAGAGAATTCCAAAAACGTTTACCTTCTGTGCCTGGTCTCTGCCCAAAGGCAATTTCCCACAACCAGAACATTGGAACAAAATCCCGCCTGTTATTTTGAGTTACAACAAGGAAGAAACAAACCATTTTATGATTTCATGACTACATTCCCACCCCCAATCCTCAAACAAAAATAAATCAATGATGGCACAAAAGTGGCTGAAACGTCAAGTACTTACTGGAACATAAATAATCCTGTTTGCTTTGGTAAACCTAACAAAAATTGGTTTCAAAATGAAGGGCTGAATACTTCCAAATGTGAAACTGCACATGTGCAGTAACCCTTTCCTTTCAGCTATCATCTGCACTCATAAAAAGGCGTAGTGCACAGGGACTTAACTGTGCAGCTATGTACCACATGCCATGTTACTTCCAATTAGGGAGCTGAGCTATAGAGGTGGAATATAGCAGTGTGTGGAGCCAGTATTAGCTTCACCAGTACACAGGGCAGCCTATATATCTTAGAAGTGACTATTCATATTAGAGTAGCACCCAGAAGTCCCAACTGAAATTTGGAACCCATTGGGCTGGGAGGAGGTCAAGCCAAGCCTTACGGATATTTTCTTTGAGAGACGCAGGCAGGAAGTGGGGAAGGGGTGATGAAGAAGTGGCAATGTAGGATTCAGTGAGGGAGGTAAAGTAGATCTGTTGCATAAACACACGGCAGAAAGAATGCAGTTGTAGCAGACACGGTCAGCTTAGTCACAAGACTTCCAGAGACTCCACAGCAAGAGAACAAGAAGGCAACAAGCAGAGGCTGGGGGTGAGCCAGGGCTAGGGAGTCAGACTCAAAAGCTCAAAGAAGAGGGAAGGAGGGGCTGGAAATGACTGGATTGAGAGAGAAGCAGCCCAACAAACCTGCCAACAGACTTCAGAAGATGACTCAGGGTGAGAGAAGTGGTAAGAGAAGCCATCATATGACAGACTGGATGCAGTAGCAGTGTCAGATGAGATCTTGGTCTTGGTGAGAACCAGGAGCCAGAGAGCAAGAGATGATGAAGTAATGGTTGGCAGTGATATATATTATGTTGGTCAGAGGAGTGGGATAAGGAGGGCAATCAGAGAAGGTAAAGCTGATGGGAAAGAAGAAAGGAGGGGGAGATGGTGGCAGTGGATGGAGGGAGGAAAAGATATATTCATAGCATCTAAGGCCAGAAGGGACAATCCGATTATCTAGTCTGACCACCTGCATATTATACAGCCTTTAAACTTCACCCAAATACCCCTCTGTTGAGCCCACTGACTTCAGTGAGTGGTGAACTGATTAGGTGAAACATGTCCAGATGATCCTACCAGGCATGCCATGCTGCAGACAAAGATGAAAAGCCTACAAGGTCCCACCCAACCTGACCTGAGGGGAAATTCCTTTCTGACTCTAATCTGGAGATCAGTTTGACCCTGAGCATGTGAAAAGACACATCAGCCAGGCATCCGAGACAGGAGTCTCTGGACCACCTCTGAGCACCAGTCCATCCTAACTAATGTCCCATCTCTAGCTGTGGCCAATCACTGGTGATTCAGGGGTGCAGGAGGGATTACAAATGTGCATTGGGGAAAAACATTTTTGTGACCCCTGCAAATGACTGGCTGAAGCCCTGCAGCATGAGATTAGATTATAGTCATCACCATACAGAGCTACAAGTGTTATGAGCGTGCTGAGGGCAATGTGGGAAATTCTGTTCTCCCCAAGACCCATAAGGAAAGGGAGTGAAAGGGGGACCCACAGACTCCTAAGCCATATAGGACCGTCACAACCCAGGCCAACCCCCTCTACACAAAGGCTACAGAACCTCTCCCAGAAACCAAATTAAAGTTTATCTTTCAGAAAGATAGCTAATCTCGTTTTAAAGTCTCCAAGCAAAGGCAAGTCTAACATCTCCCTACATAAACTATTCCAATGTTGAATCAGCCTCACTGCTAGGAAATACCATCAAAGTTTGTCCAGCTTCAACTTCCGACCACCTTTTTATATCTCGGTCAGTAAGTTTAAAAAGTCCTGCCCCATGAAATATGCTTTCCGTGTGTTGATACCTACGCACAGTGATCAAGACACTTCTCAACCTTCTCTTCAATAAGCTATATAAATTGAGCTCCTTAAGCCAGACATCATAACAGCTTGTGTTCCAGCCACTGGATCATTTTTACTGACCTCCATTGAACTCTCTCCAGTTTTCCAAACCCTCCTGGAAGTGCAGGTATAAGAAACTGGGCCCAGTATTCTAGTAGTGGTTTTACCAATGCTGGGAATAGCAACAAGATTACTTTCCTACTTCTACTTGATATTCCTCTTTTCATATGTTAGCTGAAAACTGAGCCTATGCAGCAGGAAATCTCAAGGTCCCACCCTCAGAGATGCACTCTGTCTGCAGGCTCAGACAGTTACATGCACACTTTTTAGAATTGGTTTTCACCCCACTGTGCAAAGTGGGAGCGGACAAAAAAGGGTGGGGGCTCTTCTTCAAAGGTCCTACTTATGCTGGCCCAAGGACAAGCCTTCAGTCTCCAATCAAATACCTGTATAATATTTCCTCTTATCCACCCCTACAGGCTACTTCCATCAGGCAGGAGGATCTGGCAACAACGAAGGTTCAACTTGCAAGAAAAGTTTCTTCCACTTCCTTCACAATTGCCAAGTCCTAATCAGTGGAAGTGTGCTGAGTGGTGAACAGCCTGATTAACCCACGGGATTACAGAACCAAGTATTTCATGCCATGAGGAATACAGTTTGAGGATGAGCTCATTTGGATGTGGACTGAACCTTCTGTCTCCATCGTAGCAGAGCTGTGAGTATGGAGGCAAGCTAGGAAACACACACAGTCTTTGTTTCCCTTTAAGTTAGTGTTGTTCACTGAGGTTCTGGGGGAACTTTGTGCTACATCATAGGAGTTGTACCATTGTCCTCCTCTGTTGAAGGCCTCACTCCATTATTAGGAGCATGTCAATTCCTCTCTTTAAGAAGGCCAGGTGCCATCTGCTCTTAAAGTTACACCTTTGCTCAGGAAACCACCTCTTACTATTGACACTTGTGCCAACTATTGACTATTCTTAAATCTCAAACCTCCCTGTTTAAGAAAAGGTCATCAAGACAAGTGTGGCAAGGCCACTCCAGTAATAGCGGAGTTCTCAGATTTTCTCACGTCCAGGCAGTTTGATTTTAGGGCTGGGTATGGCAGGTTACATTATCCATTGCAGGAAGGAAATCAACCAAAGATCAAGTGCCCGTGATTTCCTCCAGCAATTGCTTTTGGCACTGTACAAGCAAACCTCCCAGCAAGCCCCTTGCATGTGTGGCCATGTCCCCTGTGGGCATGCTGTGACAAAGTGGGAATTTTTTGTAAATGCTATGAATTGTGTGCCTCAGTTTCCCCTATGTGCTGCATTGTTACGGAGACGGTGGAATAGGGCTCTTTGCTCTTGGAGCAGGCTAAGACACAGGTGTGGGTGGCACCTTTCTGTCTGCATCTTGGGTCCCATGTCAATGGAGTATCTCAGAATATGATGGCAAATCCACTTGCCTGGACACTGACACCTAGCAACCAATGGCCATAGATTGCCCACCTCTCTGCAGGATACCAAGCAACATTGCCCAGGTTGAGAACAAAGGACTAAGAGGGGTGAGGTAGGGAGTTAAATGTTGGCTGCTGAAGAAGTGGGGGAAGAGGGGCCACTCACCAGGAAGTCTAATTGAGTGACAGAGCTTTGGGCTCTGGACTAACCAGAATGGATTCTGACATGGCCTTCATGTCTTTATGCTAACCTAAGGACTTCCCCTGCTGTATTCCAGTTGACAAATAAACCCTACTGTTTTACGACATTGGCTGGGTATCACTACAAGTGCTTAGTGAGGTGTATTGCTCTCTATGATTAGACTCTGATGGAGACTTGTACGTCTCAGTTGGACTTGCTGAACGGAGCTCACTGGGCAAAGCAGGGGCGCTGAAGGACCACAGATCCAGTCTAAGGAGGCGGTGAAGCCACATGCATAAGCCTGAAGGAAGAGTGAGACCCCGTAGGGGGTATGGCACGCTGAAGGGGTTCCTCCCAGAGACTGTTCCAAAGCTGGGGCCATAGCACTGGTCCTGTGGATCTGTGACACATGCACCATGCTCAAATGTCCATCATACAGAGAGGAAGCATTGGCACTGGGCTCTGTCCTTTTCCCTAGCCAGTGCTACCAATCTAGGGGAAGGGCTTCAGTGCTCCTCTTTTCCCTTCTTTCCTTTCTACCATTATAACTATGCACACAGTGAAAATGAGGGAGAGGGTGGGAGGAAAAGTAAAGGAGTGGCAGTGGAGATGGAATGCGTGAATGAAGTAGTAGAGACAATGAGGTGAAGGAGCGAGAGGGACTGCACTCTTGCTTTGATGTGCTCAGGTTGTCACTCATTCTACACAGTAAAATAAATCAGGAAGATTGTTGCTCAGAACAAGGCATTGTTAACACTTGTGCAGCCCATACGAGGAGCAGACAGTCCCTCCAGTGACTCAGTTCCCTTCTCTCCAAGATGTCTCAGAAAGCAATACTGGGGAGCTGTTCATCTGCCCCAGGGGCACTCTTCACAGAGCATTCTA